CACGTGCACGAATGATTACAACGAGACCCCTGAGTCACATCACCACTACCGCCACCATAACCACCACCACTACCACCGCTGCAGGAGTCATAATGAGGGTCGCGAGACCCAGCTAAATGATATTAATGGCTCTGGAGACAATACGCTCCCACAGATAACCATGCCAGCGCTAGTAAACATGGGCGCGAGCACTGCGCCCTTGGAACAATGCATGATGTCTCTCGATCACACCGGTCTCTCTATCATGTAACGAAGTGCTGGTTTGAGGCTGATAGCATAGGGAATACAAAGAGTGTGACCTGTCTTGCCACAACATGTGACCCGTGTTGTCACCGAGTAGCTGGGTTCGTGTATTGATTGGCTGCACTGGGGCCGCTGTTTCTGGCCCTCGCGGCCGCCAAAAGGTCACGTGACCCCATTTGAACAGATTGCGATTGGTGTCACGTGCTCTCGTGAAGCCGCTAGCGTGGCTCCAGTCGAACCCCGCCGGCTCTTTTCTCGGTTGTAAGCGCAAAAGCTCCTTCAAAACATGTAGTAGCCCCGCGCGATTCACGGCCTTGCCCAGGGTCGTTTTGAACTAGTTATGGTTACCTGAGGAGTCTGATCACTTGATCATCTGATCACGACCTCACCTGATGATGCTGGTGATGGTGATGATTATAACTGTAATGGTAATGATGATGATAGTGATGATGCAAATGATTATGTATTCGACATAAGATCCACATGGTAATTTTCCTCTTAGTCACGTCGTGATAAAGCAAATGTGCATGGAACATATTAAAAGAACACGGACATATAAAAAACACGGACATACACAGCATAAGTGACACATGGCGCACATGACACAAGTCGAGTGATTCGACAGCATTGAACGTTTCACGCTCCGTCGATACACAGTCGGAACGTCGTCAAGCATCCACCGCACTCGACGTGTCTTCGCCGCGAAGGCAAAGACGGCGCTTCCCAGCATCTGTGCAGATTTGACGAAGTGTTTGTCGGCTATCACGTGCAGTGATGTATTGGCTCCTCTCACTGGCGCGCTCCCCAACCGCCCAATAAGTTATCTCCGACTTTCCGGCGGTACTGACGTCCGAACTGCTTTTCTGGGCCGTCTGGCAGGCAGCAAGCAGAGATGATCATTTGAATCTTACACGTGGTTGCAGGGGTGTAGTTTCCTAGTCGGTTGGATGGATCCAGCCCCCCACCCCCAACCCCCTCCGCCAACGTTGGAAGAAGGTAGGCATAATCTGTGGTGGGTCCCATTTGTTGGCTGTTTTCGGGAAGGTTGGGCCATGTGTCGCGGCTCAGCCTGCCCACGCCTTTTCTTCTACTCATTTTGTGAAACTACGGCCCTACGTGGTCGTATTACCTCCTGCATCTCACCACACACGCACAGAAGTTCAAAGCTTTGTTCACATGGTGCACCTGGGTATTACTAAATGAGTCAAATGCTGACATAAATACATAAAACAAAGCTCGCACACTGCTCTTTAAAGTTGCTTTTAATCACAAGTCCCCCGTGGCACAGCGTCACGTGACTTTCACGTCCCGCTTTCAATGCTTCCACGTTTTTAGTGCTTTCGCCACACCTTCAGTGTTTCTGTGGGTTATGATGTTGGTACGTTCCTAGAATAGTTGCAAGCTGAGGTGGTGACGGTCATCGGTGAATCCGACATCTCCTACGGATCTGTAGCCGGGGACCAATGCACCACAGAGGCTCTTTGTGGGTGGCGGCAAATCTCGCAGCATCGTCAGAGTGCTGCGTACTGATATGTTCGTCTCCTGTGTGCTTAAGTGCATTCAGTTGCGGCAAACCATCGATAAATGGCACCAAGCGCATGGTCGATCCTGGAGATGAGCTGCTGCTAGACTTTGTTTTCCTCATCTCCCCCGAATTTTCAGGGATTTCAGGGATAAGCTGAGGAGCCCTTGACAGAAGCGATTCCTTGTGTCCCGATTTGGCCCGCTCCTAGACAGAATCCTGGCTACACCATTGTATCGCACCGAATCATTTTAAAGGGCGAACAAGACATGATAACTTTTTTACCGCAGCCATGGCCATGCACGTCTCTTCAGCGGTAGCGTGAAGCACGATTCCAGAGATTCGACGAGACGCTTTTGCGGTAGCCGTGATAAGAGCCATGCGACACTTCTGATGCTCCACATAGCTGGTCAGTCCTCTGGTGTGAGTTAGAGCGTGAAATGTGCGCTGAATCTAAAAAGTTCCCAATTCCACCTGTACTAAAGCTTTTAAGCTATGCAAAAAACAATTTCAAGCTTCTTCACATGGCAGGTAGAATTGATGCGGTGCAGACGCAGCCGGTAGTGCGACTCGTTCTATCAGGGGGCGATGCGGGCGCATGGACGGAACTTTATGTCGCTTTGAGAGGAAACGCCCCTCCTCCAATGCTGAGCTGCCCCCCCCCCTCCCCCCTTCCCCCCAAGAACACGTTAACCCAAATGCAGATATCATTGGAAAGTAGCGGCACGATTTTCTTTCTTTTTCAAATAGAGGTCAAATAGAGGCTCTCCTTTTCAAACAGAGGTCACCCAAGAACTTATCTCACGATGCACACCGTCCTTTCGTCGTCACCGTCATGTGACCGACAGCAGCGTTGTCTGAACTTACCAAATCTGCAAGTAGCGCACCAAATTTTCGACAGCATCTCTGATCAGTGGAGCCCCAGAATGCGAATGGATAGCAATAACGTGTTGTTTCCGAAAGGTCGCGTCATGTGGCACCAATGACGCTAGTTTACCTCCGGCTGTGCACAAGGCTCTACAGCACGCCTGTTGCTAGTCTAATAAGTTTGTTACCTTGCTTTGTTTTCTGTGCGCATACCTAACCTCTGTGCGCGTACCTAACCATTCCATACCATTCGTACCTAGCGTACCTAACCATTCGTACCTAACCATTCAGTGCCTTTCATCCGGCACGCAGTAATTGGTCGCTGGCGTGTTGTTGAAACCAAGGCTGTGAAAACAAAAGACCTTTCAGGCTCGCAAGGGAAGACAGAAGTCTTTTTGACATAATAAGAGGTGACCTTTGCGAAGTTCGAAGCCATTACTGTATTAGGGGTTGCCCAGAAATCACGCTGCGCATTTTCTATTCTTTTAACCCTCCTTTCCATCTTGCTTAAGCATTGATTACGCCGGAAGTCACCCTTCCCTTCAATGGCCACGCTGCGTTAAGCGTAACGTCTCAAGAAAATAACATCCGTTCAGGACCTAACTGAACTAGAGATGCGTAACAGATAACGGATGGGTCTCTTGTGATGAGTGGAAGCCAACGACATCCGGCCATAGGAACCGTTCGTAAGTTCAGTTACGCATGAAGGACCGCAGACGTGTAGCTGCAAATCACGCTAAAATATTGTAAAACAAATTAGCACCCTCAAGCCGGACGTTGTTGGCTACCTATCATGACAAGGAGCGCGTGCGTCATTTTCGCCGGATGGCTAGAGCCATAAGGGGTCATACGTGCGACACTTTTTGGGACGTTTCGGCTTACACAGGGCTCACAGGAGGACGGTGCTTTCCAGGCGGAACCACTGCATAACCAGGGAGGGAGAGGGTCGAACATAACACAACGATTCGTTACGTAATTTATGAACGGCGTGTGACGTTTCGTTTGTTTAAAAATGATTTAGTAGGATCCCCAGCAACATCTGAGCGTAGCAATACGCTATCTAAAACCTCCCTTCCCTCCCTTAGTACGCCTCTGTTGCGCTCTATCAAGCCCCCAACTTCCCCCCCCCCCCCCCCCTATGCATGACAGTGTTACGGACGCAACAAATAACGCTGTCATATATGTGATGAGGCACGCTCACCCACCACCTGGGCTCGCCTCTGCGCGGCGGCTCAACCTTGAGCGACTTTGACCGCGCGAACTGACGGGACGGCACGGAAAACCAGCCCAGTCTAAGAACGACTAAACGACTAAACTAACGACTAAGAACGCCAGTCGACTGTCATCTATCCGTTTTATTCTCCGTTTTGCTTCATCCTGCGTCCTCGCGGCAACTCGCTTGTTCGGGGCAGGCTGCGTGTGTCACTCATGAGTGGGCCGAGAGCCCCGTGGGAAGGGGGGCCTCGACCGGGTATCCGGCGCACATCGCGGGTCAAAGATCGGCGATTTGCACCCCCAGGCGCGTGCAAGCCTGCCCCACCGTTAACCACTTCCCTTCGTCCCATAGCCCTGAAATGATCATTTCTGGTCCAAAGGGCACTAATTTAAACAACCAAACCAGTCGACGGTAACCGGTGAGTGTGGACAATTACAACGCAAAGACAAGGTAAAATGTGAGGAATACGTGGTAGATGCAGCATCAAGCTGTTGATGTTGCGTCGTCAAGTTGGGTCGGAGACTGAGATCATCTGGGTGATGCCCACTGTTCTCAGGCGTCGGAGACTGAGATCATCAGGGTGATACCCTCAGTTCTAAGGTTCAGAGACTGAGATCATCTGGGTGATACCCCCCGTTCTCAAGCGTCGGAGACTGAAATCATTTGGATGATGTCCTCTGTTCTCAGGCGTCGGAGTCTGAGATCATCGGGGTGATGCCCTCTATTCTCAGGCGTCGGAGACTGAGATCATCTGGGTGATGCCCTCCGTTCTCAGGCGTCGGAGACTGAGATCATCTGGGTGATACCCTCAGTTCTAAGGTTCAGAGACTGAGATCATCTGGGTGATACCCCCCGTTCTCAAGCGTCGGAGACTGAAATCATTTGGATGATGTCCTCTGTTCTCAGGCGTCGGAGTCTGAGATCATCGGGGTGATGCCCTCTATTCTCAGGCGTCGGAGACTGAGATCATCTGGGTGATGCCCTCCGTTCTCAGGCGTCGGAGACTGAGATCATCTGGGTGATGCCCTCGGTTCTAAGGTTCAGAGGCTGAGATCATCCGGGTGATGCCCCTTGTTCTCAAGCGTCGGAGACTGAAATCATTTGGGTGATGTCGTCTGTTCTCAGGCGTCGGAGACTGAGATCATTTGGGTGATGCAGGTCGGCATCTTCGTGACGGACACCCTCTCGACGGTCATGGCGCTCACCATGCCAACCATCTACGGACTCTGGTCAGTACGGGCGCTCACCATACCAACCATCTACGGACTCTGGTCAGTTCAGGCCGGTCGAGGCCATGGCTCGGCTGGTTTTACATAAGCTAATTTGGGTTTTACCCCGAACTGCCAATTGAGCCATGCGTCGAGTTTTGCGTCATGCAGAAACTGGGGTTAACTATTGTCAGAAATGTAGCAGAATTTCATACCGTACTAACAACATGTAGCTGCTTTGCACACCATCGTTGAAATCGTATTTTACCCAATATCCAACTGATCGATGTTTTAGAGGGCGGCCTTCAGACCCGACACTGGTAGCAGATACCGCTGGTAGCTGGTACCGATACCGACGCACACTGATAGCAGGGACCGCGGATCCCCGCAAGAAAGGTCTGCCCGGTCTCATTTTCGTTTGCCGCGTGTGTCACTTGGGCAGTTAAGGATATGTTTACGTCTAACCGCTCTTGACAACGTGTGATCGTGATGATTGGGTTCAGAAAGCGACTTGCTAGAGCGTGGTTGCATCTTGAATTTGGTCTCTTGATAAGTGCGTTTTAAAAAGAGAACATCGTTCAGAATATACTGTTAGGTAGAATACACACACATGCTGCGAGCTGGAGCGGGCTTGAAAATTCAGAGAGAATTGCGAGTCCCTGCTTTTCTGTTACACTTCTGGTGCAGCGGCGGATGCTACGTTGATTTTTAAAGACTGCAGCAGAGCGCAGACTTTTTATTGAATGAATAACAACTGTCTTGGTCAAGAAAACGTTGGTTTTCAGGTTGCACTCACTGATGGAGGTCAAAGCTGAGAACACTAAAAGGCACTTATAAACGTAACTTAGAATACAGCACGATATCTAACAACACTTACGCCCCAAACGCTCCATATACCAGGCATATAACCGTTTCTCTCTCATCTTCTTTGTTCCAGGGGCTTGTCGTCGGATCTCGTGTACTGCATTTTGTTCCCACAACTCTGCATGGTAGTGCACTTCAAGCACCACTGCAACACCTGCGGCTCCTTGGCTGGCTACTTAATGGGGCTGCTGGTTCGGCTGTCCGGAGGGGAGGCCGTCATGCACATACCGCCTATGATATACTACCCAGGTAGGGCACACTACTGTGGTAGTGGCTGTAGTAGACAAAATGATAAGAGGCACGCTACGTTTGAACAATAAGTGTATCGTTGTTTCAAAACGTGCCGTAGTGTAATGCAGAATTTGAAGATGTTTGATACTCTTAGGCTGTATTGTCTGCCAGGGGCTTCACTACAGGCAACAAGATGGAAGAGCATACGTTGTTAAAGGTCCTTTCCCCTCGGCGCCCAAAACATAATGTTAAATTTGGCAGAACTGCACCACTGGCTGGTAGCGAGTACATTTGGCATTGGTGCAGCGCAGGTTAGCGCAGCTGTCATTGACATATGAGGTTGTTCTTGTTAGCATAAGTTTACAGAATTTAGCGAGGTTTCTCCCCTCCGCTCCGTTTTTGGCGGAGCACACGCTGTGAACTCTAGGCGAACAAAAACGTATAAGGCTTGCTAACAAATGTTACCAAACCCACAACTGTCTGGTGAGATGAGATATGGCTCGCCCAACTTGATGCCTTTCTCACCGGCACTGATTTGCGGAGCACGCCTGCCTAAGCCTCCGTTGCGTGGCTGCTTCCAGGTTATGACTACGAGAACAAGCGGCAGCTCTTTCCGTTCAGAACACTGGCTATGGTGATGTGCGGTATCACCGTCATCCTTGTCTCCCGCTTCACCAAATGAGCAATCCTGCGGAAGTCCCCCGCCACTCATGTGTGATCGCTTTGGTCCCAATGACATCATCGTCGTCCTTGTTTCCCGCTTCACCAAATGAGCAATCCTGCGGAAGCCCCCCGCCACGCATGTGTGATCGCTTTGGTCCCAATGACATCATCGGTGGTAAAATGACCAAAATCACTTCGCTAGACACGACGTTGCTGTCGATCTTGCACTGCCAAGGCCCCTGGCTTTCACAAAACGGAGGAGGATTGCGAGGAATTTGTGTAAAAATCTTCTGCGGTCACACACGTAATCAGCGCTCGTTCTGGCACAAAGATCGTTGGGCCTCAACTTTGTTCAAATTTCAGCTACAGATGCCATTGGGAGAAGGACACAGGGCGATGAAAAATAGCCATAACCTAATATTTAAGTACATTATCAATCCCATAGCTATGCCTGAAGAGAGCCTCTGGAATCGTGATCTTGACCCACTCTGTTTTTTGACGCTGTGGTGCTCCTGTCAACATGGATATTTATTTTGCAGAAGTTCAAAAGCGATAAAATGTAGATTGACCTGTATTTAAAGAACCGTCTGCAATATTGATATCAGCGGTAGTCTTTCCTGGCGAGGGCATTCCACAAAATTTTTATGGAGTTTTGAACTGAAATTGCCATATTGAAGATCATTCGGCGCAGTTCATAAATTCGGTGCCGTTCCTAGGACCTGAACTGCTGTAATGTTTGGGCTACGCAACCGCGAAGATGTGCAAACTACTTCGGGGAGACCATTTCCAGGCCACTCAGGCCTCCACGACGTCGGCGAAGACAAATATAGTTGTCGCGTCGTTCATACAAGGCGTTCGTGCGTTCCAGATGTAACGGCCGGCATTTGGCCGTTCTCCCTCACTCACTGTTGCGCAAGGTACGATGACGCAGTTAAACACAGACGAATTGAGAAGATCATTAACTAAATAGAGAAAATGTGTTGTTTAGAACAGTCCTTTCCGGTTAAAAGTACACAAAAAGTTATAAGTGAGCTTGATTCACCACTCTTGATGCTTGCTTTAATATGCCCAATTGTGCAGCACTTCCTGTAGCATAGCATGTAGCATGAGCTCAAAAGCAAGAACTATTTAGGTAGATAAAACATGATTTAGAACAATTGGACCATCAACGTCACCACACTTTTATAAGACCTCTAAGACCAGGACAGCAGTATATACCCGGTTCCCCCCTCCCCCCTTGTAATGTGTGAGATGCGCAGAACACCATCAGCGTAAGCGTAGTCGCATATGGAGCGCGACACTGGCTTGCCCATCCGTGGGCTGGAGGTACCCCAGTCGATGAAGCGGGCCCCGCCTACTTCCGGGGCATGACCAATCACAGCGAATTATCGATATCGTGATCGTCCGCGTCCGCGGACGGCGGGCATCCGGCGAGTCCCATAGAGATCTGTTATATCAGCTGATCGATTGCATAGAGAAGCTACGGGTTTTATCGGTGTCGATAACGGTATTGTGGATAATGATATGCAAGGTCATGGAAGGGCCCTCGGTATCAAATGTCATGTGGATTCCGCAGACTTGTGCAGTACCGCCTTTGGCTTTCTGTCGCTCAGAGGAGAAGTTAGGTGTTCGGTTGGGGGAGGGGGAGAGCTCACGCCCCCAACTTGTGCTCCAGCTCCTCTGCCCAATTTTGAGAAGAAAGCAGGCGAAACTTGGGGAAAATACGTTTCTTGGCGTGTTTAAAGACAGGCCTGCAGATGCATTATGGCGTATTTCGAGGCAGGCTGCGTCCTTTTCGCTGTTTAACCTCTGCCCCAACTCATTTTGCGAAGCTACGCCCGTGCCTTTATTGCTTATTTGACGGTGGACAAGGACAGTGTTGACGGCGAGATATCATATATTTAGTGGCCTTTGGAGAACAATACCAGGCGGGGTGGCAGCAAATGACAATGAAATGTATGACGCCATGCCAGTAGCGTAGCCGGGGGAAGGAAGGGGAAGGGGGGGGGGGCTTTTGGCTTTTATAGCCAGGAGAGGGGGGCAAGGCTTTTATAAGCCTTGGAGGTGGTAAGGGCTCCTTATGTCAAAGGTTCATATTGTTTTTGCTTATTAAAGACACCGGTATGGTTTCTGGGACACCAAAAGCATCGATACGGGATCCCGAGCCTGAAAATGTTCCCGAATCTAAAAACAAAGCTCTTATTTTGGTGACGAAGTGGCCCCTTTGGCAGAAAGGACACCCTCGCCGCGATTTTGTTACGTGGGCAAAATCATGGGTAGCCATTGCGCCAGACAGTGTAATTTTATGAGCTTTATCGTGTTGCACAAACTACCCGAAAGAGTAAAGTTATATGGCAACGTGGTAACTGCGAAAAGCAGCAGAGACTTGGCAACGAAGTCTTAAAGGATAACGAAGAACGTGGAAAACGAGTGTGTTGGCGTGCGGCAGCGACAGGAAACATGCATCTTACATGACATTCAATACTGCTGGCTCGTGGATCTTTAACATGCGCAATGACGAAATCTGCCGCACTACCGCCTTTTTAAAGGAGCGTTGAAATTCAAAACGTTCCCCAGCGAATCTTGTCACATCTCTACGAGGTGCGAGACATTGGCGCATAAAAAAGGCCTGGTCAGCTCCTGTGACTACTACACCAGGTTTACCTGCAAGTCTGGCAAACTCAGGCTGCGGTCACTCAGCACGCGGTTTGTCGCTTTGTTGCCTGCTTGTTTGTCGCAGTCGGACAATCGTACTGAACGGTGAGAGCGCAAGAGTGACGCGGCCAGTGTTGAAAATAGGAAAATGATCCGTAATATTGCCGCTGCTTTCGTCTTATCAACGGCAGGCGCCACTGCCGTTGTTTGTCACGCGCCATGAGACATGTATCAGACCAGGTAATCAGTGTTCTACACCGTCAGAAAGTGCGTTTTGAGTGCGTTCTCCATAGGCATATTATGACAGGGGGGGGGGGGGGGGGGGCGCAAGGAACGATTTTGGAGTGGGCAGAATGGATGGTCATGTGGTCCCTGCAATTTTCAGTGCTGTGGATTAGATTGGAACATGTGGCTTGTACTTCCTCCTGTCAACGCAGCGCAATCGGGCTTACGGGGATTTCACCGGCGCATTGGTCACTCCCCGTCAGCTTCCAGGTCCCCCCCCCCCCCCCCACCGAATTCATCATAAAACTCTGACTTGACCATGCTGATTTAAACAGGAAGCTATCCCTGAGTCTTTCCACCCGAGCACGCATCAGCTGAAGAACCCGAACATACTGGCGGATACCAAAGAAAAAAATCGACGTTTTTTTGCGAAAAATCTACTTACTGCAAATCAGTTCAAATTCGTCGCACGGTACAACCGAGTGGGACTAAAAATGCCACAGCGGGGCGTGCACTGATGTGCAGGACGCACAGGATGCGGAGGACTTCTGCTGCATCCCAGACGTACATCTGCGTGCAGCAATAGCCGCTGAACACGTGGCTTTATGCGTTCGTGATTTGCAACCACGTTGGATTGGCCCTCGTCAGTCGAGAGGGGGGGGGGGGGGGGACAGGGCTTACGTCCTTAAGGTGATCTCGAAAATAATACATACTAAAGCCACGAGAAAAACGGCATCGGATGGTGTATGCAGATCATGTTTTTAAACATCAGTGCATGTTGCGTTGGACAGGTGGGGTGTGAGTGGATGCCAATAACCGAATACCGCGTGCTGTAGAAAGTTTTTGTAGGTTGGAACGCCCACTCGCCTTCTAAAACATGAAAATGCACCGCAGATTCAACAAAAGATCCGAAGTGTAGATGGTTTCCGAACAAGATATAAAAAAACAGCCCCTACGCGACGTACAGGGGCTTCTGTCTACAACGGTCCTCGTGACCAGATTTGGCCCCTGCTGGCTGCAATCCTGGCCTCGCCACCGATAACGATAGATAGTTCAGTCCCCTTCTATCCCCAGAATCTACGGCTGGAAAGGCCATAGAAAAAATGTTAAAAAATTTCGCCCTTCGTTCACTTGGGTATGCACTGATCCGTTTAGTGAACTTATGTACGAACTGTCAAACCAGGTCACAGTGGGAAGTCGTGTACCCAAAGGCCCCACCGCGTCATCTCAGTATATATTTATTTCTCTCATTCACTGACACGTATAAACAGCTATACGATGCCGTTCTCTCCACGTTCGAAAACATAGTCTCGAAGAAAGGGTCCAAATTTCCAACTTAACCACGTTCACCTTTCGTACGCATGTCGACAAACGTTGGTGCACCCCATCTTCTGGCGAGCTTAAAAGGTTAGTGTTGAGGCCCACCCTACCACGACGGCAAACCAGACGCCGCATCCTATCAAATGCACCGAATGCCGATTTGACAGAAGAGTCTTGGTAATCGTTTGTGAGAACCTCGCCTCATACACCGCCGGTGTGTCAGTGCTTAAGAATTTTGATTACAGATGGCGGACACTGTCCGTATAGGTGGCGCTGCTGCCCACTTGCCAAGCTGGCGGAGCCAGTTCCTCACCAAAGCCAGTTTAGCGCCACCTTGGTTTTACCACCGACATGATGGAGACTCACTGACTGCCACGCGGTCAAAACGGACCGGATCCAGAGGCTTTTTCAGACGCAGCCGCCAGCGACACACATCTGGCACCCAGAGGGCCTGTGGTCACTGTATCCCGTATTAGATGCGCCCCGCATCCAGCTCGGGTCATTGGTGCAGCTTCCCCGGCGGTTGGCAAAACTGGAGACAAACCCGTCTGTTGGCGCGCTTTGGGAATAAGTTGGGTCCTCTCCCACTGTTCAGCCCCCCCCCCCCAAGTTTGGGATTACGCCCCTGGCCCAAACCACACCATATAAGCGAACCATATAAGCGAAGCCGAGCCGAAATCGCCTATTTCTGGAGCATGCGACTCGGCACACACCACCATCAAGCCACGCACGGTGCGCCCTGCTTGGAGGCACTCAATCTGTCAAGCTGAGGGGTCATTCATTTTGTCTTATGAGCCACTTTTCCATCCAGTACGTTCAGGACCGAGGTTAACTTTCCGAAAGCTTTAAGTCCGACCTCTCCCTCCCCGCTCACTGGCGCCGCCGGACACCATCATTACCGCAGCGGCCACTCACCTGCTATCGGAATCCGGGTCCGCCTTCAACGACGCGCTGCCGAAGTGGACAGCGATCCGGCGACAGCCTCCGTGCGAGCAACGCGTACTTCGATTCTGACCCCTCGCCGAAGCAGCGCGCGACAGCGCGCCCAAGACCTAACGCTCCTTTGAGTTCCGCTGTCTCATCGATGCCAACGTACTGTGATCACATTCCATCTCGGCGCCGCCTGAACCAACCAGAGCCCCCCCCCCCCCCCCGCCGAGCTACGACAGAAATTGTCGAGACGGTGAAGGCCTGGACTCTTACTTCAATTATCCTGATTGTCGTTCGTTGATATCAACGCAGACTTCCGCCTTCCGCTAGCAGAGCACGTTCGCCGCGCTTCAACCGCCTACTGAGGCCAGCAATGGTCAAAACAGAGATCGGAGACCATTTCGCGACGACACGCCTTACGACCTAATCTAACCTGTAAGACAGGGCTGCCAAATGTGGCAAATCGAGCCACTGTGCAGTCTGGCCAAAAGACAGGGCCGCCAGGGTGTGACAAATTGAGCCGCTGTGCAATCAGGTCAAGGGAACCGACGTGGACGCCCTGTGTGGTAACCAGGTGGCTACTGCCTACCGCCCCCAGCAGCCGGCGAGCGACGGGGACCGAACTTCGAGCAATCAGAAATGGCAGCACATGCGCCGAAGACAAAACGATGATCAGAACACGAATGCACTCGTGCCGCTGGGTATCTCCTACGTCTGCCCCCCCCCCCCCCCCCCCTCAACAGATTAAGGGCTGCTGAAAGTGATCTACATTCAACACACCAAGGAAAATATTTTGAACAATGTTTTCACTTAAGCATTGGCTATATTGAGAAGACCTGTTACATAGAGGGAATGTGTCTGAAACTTTTAGAACATGTTTCCCAAATAGCCAATACTCAGATGGCAGCCAGTTGACCGTTACCTACTGATATACTCAAGGAAACTAATTGCACATAGCAACACCAGACTAATCCCAAAAAACAGGACCACAAATGCCATTAATACTGATGCATCATGGAGTCACAGCAGAACTTCTGAAGTGTGGTGGCAATATAGGGTGGCAATACATCCATCTTCTAAGCAGTCTACAATGATATGCCAGTTTCAGAGCCAAGCAGCACAATCTATCCATTGCCAGTCTGCACGCTCAAATGACCCAAGCAATGGGAGACAGCAGAACTAGAGCCAGTGTACTGCATGTTGTGGTGCCAGCTTTAATTTTGATTCAGTGTGCCAAGCACAGGCCAAGCAAGATCTGGCCACCAGAGTTGGTATTGGACTTAACCCAACCTTGCATCAAACAGCTGAGCAGCTGCTTCCAGGTTGTCCTCTTCAAAACTGGAGGTAGCAGAAGTCAAGAGCATTTAAGCATTTCCATACATACATTCATCATCCATTCAAACTGCTTATTGCACACTGTATGCCTGCACTTCTGCAAGCCCTTACAAAAGTGCGAGAGCATAACCCCCCAGGTCAACACACAAACACATTCTCTTACATTGTATTACACACAACCATCACAATACAAATATCACAGCCAGTGCTGCACTTCACCAGTAACTGAATATCTCATTGAGAGCCCCATGCTTACCAAAACTTTGACAATAGAGCAAATAGCTCCCTCTGAAGGGCAAACATGTGACTTTCAAAGTGAGAGCATCCATGACCGGTCACCTCGGGGATACTACCTCTGTCCGTCCGTCATCCTCTGAGGTAGCAGGCATGGGCGAGCTGGAAAGAACATGGCCAACCATTATCCAGAAAAGGGAAGTCTGGGCAAAAACAAGTCAAATTTCCTAGTAGTGGTACTGAATGCTCAGCTTGTTTATGAAATCACAAGGCTGCACATAGAGCAATGAAAGTTCATTTTCAGTGAATGCACATGGGGTCACTAATACCAACCTGTTATAAATATGATGGTTCCATGGCAGCTTGCATGGAGATGTGCTGATAACCTCAGCAGCCATCAACCTAGAATAAGAGCATATGGCTAAAAACCAGACACAGTCACATAAATTCCTAACAGTCACTGGCACGGCTTGCTTCACAAAGCATTGAACCTGTCATCTGCACAGGTCACCACCCACAATGCGAACACATGTTCATGAGTGCCTCAAGCACACATTCACACCTTTCAGGATACCAGAATTGCCATGCCTGGCACCCTGACCTCCACATGTCATAGCCTGAACAGCACTCAGTCAGTAATCTTGCTTTCCAATTAGTTCACACACACCTCCAGCAGGTGCAGAGTTCTTTTCAAACACAGACTTCAAGATTTCATCCAGGGCAGGCAGGGCAGGGGCAGAGCGGTTCAGCAGTGCACTCCGCAGGAAGGCAATCTCCTCTTCAGCAGCCTGCAATCTACCCTGCAAGATCTTGGTTAGTGTTGTCCAGCTGCCTGTTTTCACTGGCAAGAGCTTCACACCTCTCATTCAAGTTCTTCAGCTCTTCCTTTTTCCTGTCTCTATTGATTTTGGCATTTATTGCATTTAGCCTACAGCGCTCCATTTCAGGGTTCTTGCATGGAGCTTCTTGATACCTCTTCATCTTCTTGGTAGTTTTGAAGTAGATAGAGTCAGACACTGAATCAACCACATCAGAGGAGCATCTCCTTTTTGAAGCCCTTCTGTCAGCACTGGCCACAGATTTGTTCTTCTGTTGGGGTTTGCAATCCGGAACATGCGGTTTGTGCAGCACTTTCAGCCTCCGTCTCCTAGGCACTTCAGTGCTGGCAGCCACTGTGCTCATCTCAGGAGATGATGTCTGAGATATTTCTGATGACTGCAGCATCTCTGGACCCATCTCAGCAGGAGACCTCTTGCAGAAAGCTGAAAGAGAAACTGGTGACGTAACAACTGCATCTTCTGAGCAGGCACGTTTGCTGGCATCTGCCTGGAGATCATCATCCATGACCAGTGCATTCAAAGTCTTTTCTGGAGAGCCCACATCCTTCAACATTTTCTGCTCAGGCTCTGGACTGTGATAAATAGCAACAGTACAAGATGCTACAGCCTCCTTCAGCTCATTCAAGGTGTGCATAGTTGGGCTGGCCAGCACACTATACATACACGGGTCACTGACGGACGAGGGGAAGAGTGATGTCTGTTCGTCGTCTTCATTCTCGGGACAATCCAGCTCTGAAGCAAACTGGTCGTCGCTGAACCGAAGAAACTCCAACTCGTCAAAGAGCCTGGTGTCAGGAAAAACGTCCCCCATGGCGAAGAGTCTCCTGGATGCAGTTTACAGCAGCTTACCGGCTATAAGACGTAGAGCTCGGCCCGACGAATGCAGTCGCACGCGACCAACGCAACCACGCCCGCCGTCTGCCCTCCGTGTGGTGGAAATAGATCCCGATTTCGATTATAAGCCACGTGCGGATGACTACATGACGTCATAAAATCCAGGCCACCTATTGGCTATCGCGTCGTCTAGGACCGTACAACAGCAGCATTTCCTCGCGTAAAAGTAGTACCCTGGCGGGCAGGCGGAAACGTTTCAGAAACGTTTCAGTGACTTTGACATATTTGGCGCAGTGGGGCAATTGTGAAGCATTTCTCCAACGTGTTACGTGCCAAGGGGCTTTGTATGCAAGCATTGCTGCCTAAGTTTTCAGATGGAACGTTCTGTAAGAAAAGAAAGAGCATTTAACTAACTGTGGCAGTTTTGAATCGAGGTGGGATTTGTCGGTCGGTTACTCCACGTGCTTCGCCTTCTTCGATTTACCGATGTATTTTGATGAGACCCCGTGTGGGGCGTAATACGAGTTATTGTATGTTTATTTTTATTATACATTATTTTGTTATATATTTAAGATGCATTCTCCATAATCATTTGAAAATGGAGGACGCAGCGAATTACGGGCAGGGGTGGGCAATGGCGGGACGGGGAAGGCCAATTTCCCATGCACTGCTCCCCAATCATGATCAAAATATCAAACATCTCTACACTTCCCGCGAGGCCTTTTTTAATGAATGGCGGCATTGTTTATACCTCTCCCCAATCCGGCGACCTCCCCCCCCCCCCCCCCCCCCCCACAAGGCGACGTCCTGGATCTGCCCTCGGTCTCACATGAGATGGTGGATGGCAGTAATCAGAATCTGGGTCGCCAAGGCATCAGTGGCACGGCCCGGACACGAGCCCGGAGCTCGGTGACGTCACGCCGATTTTTAGCTGCGTCGGAAGCCATCGATGGCTGAACACGAAAAATCTGGGCTGAAAGGGGGCAATCTGGGCCTTTCTTGGATGCGCCCCTGAGCCATGCCAGGATTAGCGACGAGTGGGGAACAATTGGAACGCTTTTCGGCCCCGTTTGCAGTACTTACACCCTCTGCACATACATATACATAGGACACGATCCCTAACAGCAGCGGTATAGTTCCCTTTTTCTCCTTCCTCAAATTCCTATTTACTAGGCTACAGCCCCCCCCCTCCCCCTCCCCAGTGGTGTAGGCATGGTGGGGGTACAGGGGACACGTGTCTCCCCCCTTTGGGTCCCGATTTGAGAGATCGAAAGACCCAAAGGATTGGTTGGAAATCGTATTAAGGGGGCCTGGCCCGCGAGACTGGGTCCGAAAATGCCAGTCAGAGGGCTTTTCGCGCCGGTTGGGGTCCCTGAGTCGATGAGGACCTATATGCCGGTCAGGCACCAACAAAACCGAACATTTAGCTCCGTGTCGGTCCGGGCCTGAGAGCCCATTTACCGGCAGTGACAAGACGGGAGCCCGCGATTTACATTGGCAGGGGCCTCTGAGTCAATGAGCCCCATCACAACTTCCCACCCCAACCCCGACCCACTCCTTGTCGACAAGGAGCCCCCCCCCCCTCCTCCCTGGGACCCGCAATGCGTGGCAGGGGTCCTGTGTTGGCGAGGGGCCTGTGTTAGCAAGGGGCCTGTATCGGCAAGGGACCTGCGTTGGCACGTGTCCTATGTTGGCAAGTGTGCTGTGCTGGCAACGGGCCTGTGTTGACAGCGGGCCTGTGTGACAAGTGGCCTACGTTGGAAAAAGGCTTATTTTGGCAAAGGAGTCAGGCTGGGGCATTGTTCAAGGGGTAGCGGGAGGGGCCGAATGGTCCCTCGCGACCGACGACCGAGGGCCATATGGAAAGCTGTTGGGCCCGAAAGGTCAGGTCAGGTCAGTCAAGGAAAGGTCAACTGCAAGTCAATCAAGGAACTCGGCCCGGAGGGCTGTGTCCTCAGATGACGGTCTGAGGGGTTATTGTGCTGACTGAGGTCCCGTGGGACAATGAGGATGTCAGTTGGTCGGTTGGTCGATCGGTTGTCCCGGGCTGCCCACTTCCCAAGCAAGGACACGGTCGGGACCCGCAGTTTGATTTGGCCGGGTCCCCTGCAATAATGAGGGACCCCTGTGGCGTTCAGGGGTCCGCACTGGCTAACAGGGTGTCCTATGTAGGCAAGGGGAACATTTGCTGGGCAGGGACAGGCACGGAACCCCGAATGCCAGAGTGCTTCTTGCGTCGATCGGGCCCTCTGATACTGAAAGAAGATATGAAAACTTATGGTCAGAGTCCATAATCAGACAATGGAAGGACACTGTCAGTCAGGACCCCCAATATCGAGCAGGGGGCTCCGCACCCCATTTAGGCCAACGGCCCGCCAAGCCTAAATGGAGACTCAAATGCCAATTTTAGGATTAGCTGCGGCGGTGAGGGATCCTGTTGCATCAATGAAAGCTCCTGCGTCGATCCGGGGTCAACTGCCCGGGCCAGAGGGCTTCCTGCGTCAGGGGGAGGACAAATCTGTTATGTATTTATCTTGGGCTTCCGGATTGACCAGGGGACTCCACCACCCTGAGGGCAGCCCGCGCTGGGGCGGAATGATCCTTCAGCCATCGAGCGAGAACGATATTATGCCCCCTAGCGTGCTACCCACGGGCCCCTCGCCAGGGAAAAGGTTAGGGTCTCAAAGTATTGTAGAGTGGATCAAAATGAGGTAAGAATGAAACAGATTAACCCATGTTTGCCTGAGAAGATCATCCCTTTGCAGAACCGATCAATGAAGCTATTCGCACAGCAAAGTTTTGAGCCTGCGCGCTCAGTTTCAGGAGGAAGAGCACCGGTAGCCTGTATTGGGTTTTCCGTAAAACTCAACGTCGGTAGTCGCTGAAGATGACACCAGGCGGTGAGCGCGAGGCGCGCAGAAACAACCGTCCTGAAAGCATTCCAAGTAAAGTCGTGCCATTCAAAGTTTGGACTGGGGGCGTTCAATTCACTTTCATAATTTATAGGTGTCTTTTGAACAGATGGACAGTTGGAGCAGCATGAATAACAAAGATTCTATGCGTGCTCTTCCAGCTTCACCACCAGTTTCCAGCACGAGTATACGGTACCGCAAATCCTAATCCATTCGCATTGAAGCCTCTCGTACTGAAGCCTTTTAGTCAAACTGAAGTGTTGAGAAAGTTCGGGTGGCACGTGGGAAGAGCACGCACGTACAGGCGAGCCAGTGATTTTAGTGGCTTCAGGCGTGCCAGTCGGTGGTTTCGACAGACCGATACCAAATGTTGTTCCGACGAGGGTGAATACTCGCTGCCATCTGTATTACAATAAAACCAAGTCAGCACAACGTGAGGCGTTTTCCACCGTCCTCGGAGCGGGACATGCCCCCTCGAATCCATTTTGATCCAGAGACGTTCCAGATGATCCAGAGGCGAACCACTAAGGGCGAGTTGGGGGCAAAACGATGCACCCCCTTCGTTTTCCTGGAGCGCGTTTCCGGCGAGACGGCCGCAGAAAGCCTGCGGCTGTGGTGGCGCCCGCACCAGGTCACTGCATGTTTGCATCTGGCGGATGGGCGCCGTCACCGTCCACGACCATGGTCAGCCAGCCGAGCCGAGCTCGGAGCCCGCAGGGGTTGGGCAGGCCCCCCTCCCCCACCGGAAAGGGGGCAGGAGAGTGAGGGCCACGGGACGGCCGTGGTGGGTAAGGAGGCGGTAAAAAATGGTCGCCCGGCGGTGGCACGAAGGCCACCGTGGCTACCCCGTACGACGACGCCAGATTGGACGGAGGGGGGGGGGGGGGGATCCGTCTACCGTCTATCTACCGTCCGACGTCAGGTAACCGGGGCCATGGGAGACGCGACGTGATGAGGCGTCGGGCAGCTGATGGCCGGCTGATGACGCGGTGGCCCTTCTCTCTCTCTCTCTCTTGCTCTCTCTGTCTTTCCTCTGTCTTCTCCTAGACTTACATTGATAGTCTTGGAGTACTGTGTGGGACTTGGTACCAGCAAGGCCAGACGACCAGGTGCCGACTTAAATAAATTCGCAGTGGTACCCGGAGCAGGTGTATTGAAATATGATAATATTTCGGAGCACGTTGGTTAGAATAAGCCAAAATAATCATATACGAGGTTCTCACACCCAATCTCACAGTTCAGACGTCAGCGTGTCACATTTGAGATCGATTCCGGAAAAGGCGTCGTTGACCGCTTCCTGGTCTGGTACTGACGCGTCCGTTGGCCGGACGACGTTTAACGTCTCGATTGCTCTGCAGACGGTACTTCTCACTGTGCAGTTACGCTTTGCAATTCGTTTCACACGCGACCTGCCCTGGCCTGACCTTAAAATGACGGAGATAACCCTTGAGAACATTCTGAGACGGTTGAATCCATGGTTTTGGCACGAGAGCGTTGCCGCACACATCGACACGCAGTTTAACAGCATATTTAGGTGTTTTTTCCAGAACGTGCTCCCAGGACGTGACGTTTCTACGGCGTCAGGTCGCCGGAATCGGGGACCCGATCCCGATTCGACGCCGCTTCTCAGCGTTCTGTAAGTTGGGCGTGCTCCGACTTCCGTGTTATTTGGTGAAGAATGATAAATTGGAATGATATTGTGATACGGAAGTAAAACCACGCAATCTCAAATGCCCTGTTCGCGAATATCTTGAGAACCTTGGTAAACATATAAAACTAAGATGAAAACCTTAAATAAGCGGCTGCTTCTTGCTAGCAGTTAACTGGTCGTGGGTAAGTGGCTTCTGATGAAGGTCAAAAGTCTCTAAGGTCTTAAACCGTATAGAAGTACAAAAACTTTATATAAACCACACCGTCGAAGGGCGAAACATCCAGTTAAAAGCGCAGGGAAGTAACTGTCTACAAAATATACTGACCCCAACTAACAAATACCATCTCAAGCACCCAACACCATACGTCATTGTGCCACCAACAATTCACTAGAAATCCGGCATAATTCTTCTGACCACAAAGCTGAGATTCTAGTATGTGATTATGAACAGAACGACAACAAAATCCTGATGGTATCTTAAAACAGTGCCAAAACGTGACAGACCTGTTGGCTTCAAGCCTTCCTCAGTGTTCAAAATGAGGCGATACTGAAGAAGTTTTAGAGGTAAAATGTCTCTTGATGTTGCCTTATCTTAGTACGTCATAAGGCTTTTGGTCACTGCTCTTTTTATAAGCCCCAGCATCAAGGAACGTAGCCAAAAGGGATGTCACGGAGGCCATATTCCTCTTTTCTCCCCCCCCCCCCCGCCAACACACACACACCCGAGACATGCGTTCTACACCAGGCATCGAACAGTTTCGCCAGATAGCTACTCGAGTACGAAAACAGCGATAGTCCCCCCCCCCCCCCCCTGAGCCACATGATGACCTGGTCCTCGCTGCCACCCCACACCAGAGAGCACTGGGCTTATCACACCATTCCATCGTAAACCGCACCAACTCAGCTCGCTGTAACTCCGGGGAGCACATTAAACCAGGCGCTATCCCACCGGTCATCCCGCAAAGGCACCCCGCCCCGATGGTAGAGCACACCACACCAGGCGTCATCCCACCGGTCATTCCGCAAAGGCATCTAGTCCCGATGGTACGGTCTCCATGCCATGCTGCCCGGTGGCGCACAGGTCACCCTGGTGGCACCCAGGCCACCCCGGTGACACGTACGCCACCTTGGTGACACAGCTCACCCTGGTGACACGTAGGTCATCCTGGTGACACATAGGCTACCAGAGGTGACACACAGACCACATTTATCATTACGACGCTGGCGACATCCACACCAGGTGGTCGCTATAATACGAGTGACCACGCTCAGGCTGTCAGATCATGTCTAGTTGGCCTTCCTCAAGCCGAGGCCATTATTTCCGTACTGAGGCCATTATTGTGAGCAGAGCCAGGCCATTATTATGCGCAGATTCCAGTTGTTCGCGGTTACTGGGACGAGGTGTTAATATGGCGGATGGGTAGTTGTTCGGACAGACGTCCTCGTCCGGTGTGTACGTATGTGCATACAGCGCTTCGGCCGGTTATGTCTTCGGCCGACACAAGGCGCCACCTGAGTTCTGAGGATGCCGGCAGGCTGTTCGCCCTCAGTCGCTGATGAGCTGCGACCGCACTCTCCTTCTCAGAATCAAAATTTTCCCCGCAATTACAGTGAGACAACTCTGGTTGTGATCCGTCCCAGCTGAAGACGTTATCGACGTTATCGAAGACGTTAAAGACGTTATCGACGTTATCGAAGACGTTAAAGACGTTATCAAGTCCTTCTCAGAACCCGATAGCAGCTGACGACGGCGGGAGAGTGATCGGACTGAGGCTCTGTATGCTCACGCTAGCACATCAGACCGGGACGATGGTCCGGGCAATCAGGCCATCCGTGGTTGAGAGCAGGTGTCCGTCATTGTGATTGGAAGAACGTTACCGAGAAACGTAAAATGATCTGAAAAGTTGGTACGGGTGGCCCTGGGGGTGGGGTAGTGCGATTGTCACGTAAGTTCTTCCCAAACACCTTCAGAAGATTCATGCTATATCTTAACAGGATTGAGGGGGGGCCGCCCGCTGCCCCGTGGGTGTGTTTTCGCAAAATAATTCGGGGGGGGGGGGGGCTGAGCAAAGAGAAATCTCTGCACGTTTTTCAAAACACATTGAAAAGGAGTTTCTCCCCGGTTTCGAATCACTTCTCTCAGTCGGGGGCCGAGGCGCCCCCCCCAAAAAAAACAGGCAACTAAACCCCTGCGCTCCTCCGCTTTCGCCATCTAATCCTGACATCCAGATGACCATCATCCTATCATCCCATCATCCCATCATCCCACCAGCCCATCATTCCACCATCTATCATCACACGGCGAGCACGTCCGCCAGCTGCTGCTGCACGACCTTCATCACGTCCGACCCGGCGTCCGCCAGCGCCTCGCAGACATCGAAGTGGTCGCGCCCCGCCACCACGTGGTCCACCGCTCTGCAGCCCGCCTGCCGCAGGCCGGCCGCGAACTCCCGCGTCTGGCGCACGAACTCTGGCGAGTCGTGCTCGCCCACCAGCACCACGTGGCGGAACTCCGGCAGCGCGGCGAGAGTGGCGCACTGGCGCAGCGGGCTGTGGCGTCGCGCGCCGGCGGCGTCCAATCGCAGCGCGGCGTTCACCGTCGTCGACAGCAGCGGCTCGAGGTCGAACACGCCTGACACGTAGACGGCCGCGCCGACCAATGGGCGCTGGGCAGCCGGCAGCGTCGACCAATCGGCGAGCATGGCGGCGGCGAGCTGCGCGCCAGCCGAGTGGCCGAACAGCAGGAGCGCGCGGCTGCGCTGACGGAGAGCCAGCGCCAGCAGCTGGCGGCCGACGGTGCGCACCTGAGGACCAGGGTCACGCAGGGTCACTTGGAGCACGCGGGGTCACACTGGGTCACACGGGGGGCACCCGGGTCACACGGGGGCACGCGGGGGCACTCTCCGCGCTGATGGCGTCTCACCACCAGGATACGGTGGCACCTTCACTGGTCAATTCCTCGTGCATCGTGTATCTATTGAAGCTTTTCCGAAGGTTCTTAGGGGGGTAACATGGTCTTCACGATCAGGTCTTCAAAGCCCCACTCTCACCAGCATCGAACATCTTTCAATGCATCCATGCAAATGTGAAACCACTGGGACGGGAAGCCTCTCCTCCAATTTTCGGAAACCGGGACTTCGCCCCTCCAATTCCGCCCGTAGCAAGCACGCATCGCACGTTATCTCCCTCAAAATATCCTTCAGATCCGACTTTCCCCTTCAGATTCCAGTTGGACCCCTCAACCCCCCACTTGACCCCCCACCTCCCCAGTGTCAGTGCCGTGGCCACGCCCTGGCACCCAGCGAGCCGCGGTCCGGCGCGGCGAACCTGGCGCTCGATCTGCTCCAGGCTGACGGCCGGCGCCAGATCGTAGCCGACGGTGGCCGTCCTCCAGTCCAACTGGCGGAAGCCGAGCGCCACGCCATCTGATGAGTCCAGGTCCATCATCTGACGCAGAGCGGGGGGAGGGCGGTCAGTCCGGAGACGTGCCAAGGAAGCAGTGCCCACCCCTCTCCTCCCCTCTCTGGGAGTCAGGAGACTTACACGTCATGCAGCGCGATGACGCTGGAATTAGTTCAAAATACGGAATTTGTTAAAGGAAGTTCGACATTTGCCCGCCTCCCTGAGCAAAACGCTGGGTACGGGTCTGCATCAGTCGCATGGAACAAACATGCAAAGCTCCTGAAACAAAACAAAGGCAGATCCCACATCTGCCGGCACGTTATCAATCTTTTCCTCAGGGGTTGCCGAATCGTCTCCAAAACTCTGCGAATTTGAACCAGATTCTTGCAAAACCATTCACTGTCTGATGTAAATCTCCCGGATCATCCCCCTCCTTTGGTTACGTCCTGCTCATCTAAAATACTCCTTCAGATAGACGGGAGTGCCTCTCTGTAAATCACACACAGAACACGGCGGATCTAGACAAAAAAAAAACTGCACGCGGTCACAACTTTTTTAACACCCTCTACCCCCGCATAACGAACTGTTCCCTGACACCCTCTCCCCGCACATAACTAAATGCTCCTTGACGCCCTCTCCCCGTACATAACTGACTGTTCCCTGGCACCCTCTATCTGCACATGACAAACCTCCCTGACATCCTCTTCTGGCACATAACAAGCTGTTCCCTGACACTCTCCCCCCGCACATTATAAACAGCTCCTTTACAGAGGCATCCACAAGCGATGGTCGCAAGGCAGGAGCTCGTGCCATACCTGCCAGAATCCTCCGTGGATGAAGACCGCGAGCGGGGCATTGTCCGGTACATCGGTCCCGAGCACGTTGTATCTCTGCTCCGGCCCCGGTCCGTACCGTAGGCCCAGGTCGCACGGCAGCGATCGGCGCGCCCTCTGGCTCTGCGCAGTTAGAGCCTCCACAAACTGCCGCACCACCTCGGAGGGCGCCACGCGTCGCACCCAGGCCGACGGCGAGTACTGCCGCTCCAGCTCCTCGCTGGTCAAGCTGCGCCACGCTGGTGACGTCATCGCTGCCGGCGATTCACCGCCGAATGACGTCAGCAGTAGGCTCCGGTGACGTTCCGATCGCAGCGGTTGCCCGTCGTCGAACACGTTGACGGGGTCGCCAGCCTTCTCACAAGGCTGACCTGACGTGGCGGGAAAAACCGTGATGTAATTGACACGCAAACAACAGCACACGGGCAGCTGACCGCAGTGCACGCACCGGAAGCCGCTCCGCGCGCGGAGTCACGGTATTCGCTGTGGACAGAAAGAGGCACGCATTCAGAAGAAGCCCTCTTCCAATATCCCAACGTCGGGGGGCTGGGGAGAAAGGATGAGATGGTGGCCAAATCCCCACGCTTTTTCTGTTCGCGAGACAGCGGCAAAACAAAAGCATCAGCAAATTGTCAGCATCAGTAATCAGCAAAACCTCAGCATCAGCAATCAGCAGAGCACCGAACCGCTGAGGATGGCATAGGCTGGCGAATAAAGGACCAGGTTCACTTGAGGTCAGAACACAGTCAGACGTTGGCCAGGTATAACCTGACATGGCAAAGGCTGACGTTTTCGTGTCTTTGAAAGACTTTTAGAGGCCCACAGTGGGGGGGGGAGGGGGGGGGAATAACTATTACGTGCCTGGTTTCAGGTCTGTAAAAGTTTGGACAATTTGGATAACCCAAGGAAACATTGCACCGTCCCACGTATTACTGCACCATAGTTTTAGTATGTTCAACGTAATTAGGATCGCCTAAATCTGCATGGCTGAGGAAGTCCAGTGCAAAGTTCCGATATCTGCAGAATTTGAGAGCCATAGTCTACGGCGCGGGTGGAAAACTTAACTTTTCAATTCCACTTCTGCTTGGTTCTACTCTGACCTATAGTGTTCCACAAAGCGTGTAGGGACGGTTACCTTACCGGCGGCCGTGCCGTGCAACAGTGCTTTCTAAAAGTGAAGCTCTCATGCTATGTCCAGTCATTCCACAGCCCACATGCCGCAGACATAACGGATCGGAACTGAATCACAGCCCGCATGCCACCGACGTAACGGATCGGGACCAAATCGCAGCCTGCATGCCACAGACGTAACGGATTAGGACCGAATGTGTCCATGTAGGTGGGAAAATGTCATAGCACGGGCCATCTGAGGATGAATTTTTGTCGCCAGAACTGACGAACTAATCCGAAACCACTTGCTCCAACGCTTGGAGCGCGAGACCGTAGTTGTCACCTTCTCCGTTTCCGTCCCACACCGTTATGACTCGCTTTCTGCTTCTTATAATCCCGCAGTGAAGTCGTGGAACAAAATTAGCTTTCTGGCACTTCCATTGCCCGGCCTTATAATCGGGTTCTGGGACTGAGCTGATCACACACGTAGCCTACGCCACACACATGTAGCTGTGGTATTTGAAAGCACCACAATTGACAGATATGTCAATTGGGAGTGTGTTTAATCAAAATGAATCGCTATGGATCACCACCATGTATGAGCATGGATCACCGTTATGGATCGCCATGGATCACTACCAAGGATCATCACGGATCACCATTATGGATTGGCATGAATCACCATTATTCACTGTGCGGAAGAAGCGATGAGTTTTACACCGATATGTCCTTGAAGTCAAAAGCATCGGTGGTAAAAACGCAACTTTCGTCTTACGTACGAAGATCAATAACCGGAGTGTTTCAAACACATTCACACTCTTCCATTCCAAGCAGCGCCATATCACAAGAAATCGCTCCGCAACGCTGTTTTTTAGAGTAGATGATGTAGCCTAAGCCTTTAACCTTTAGCCTTTTTATAAGCCTTTAGCCTCTAAAATATGCTACAATGAAACTCAGAAAATCAGCGCAGCCATGCCTGACAAGCAAAACACGCCAGCGTGCGACACAGAACACACAAAACAAAAACGCCATCGACGTTCGCGAAATGGCCATCTGTAACCACCGACTGATAAGCTTCCTGATTGTGTTCGACGTTGACATAGGGCTGCTATCGTCGAAAGATAGATGGTCTACAACAGTACACGACAACAACGCTGGCCTCTCGCTCTGAGCACCCCAGCGAACCGCACGCGGGGCCCAACGCGGACGCATGTTTGAAAAGGTTGAGTCCGGACACCTGGAATCTATGGGCTGCTGAGCTCAAAGCTCACGCTAGGCAGTATTCTGCGTGTCCTCACTCTTGCCAGCTGGTCGTCTGATTCCAGGTTAACGGCGGACATTGGAGGCGAAAGCTGAACGTGCCGCAATGCTCGGCACAATCCGTCCTGCCCTCTGACGTCACCTGACCTTTACCGCGGCCGATGCCACAGGCTGCAGGCCATCCCAGTCAAGGGCACGTATCGAGCTCCTAACGCGACTCGAGCCCGCCCCGCCAAGGGTGAGTGGATCAGAAGCCAGGCGCTCTAGCCAACTGCTTTTCGGGACACACGCTTTGACTCATACGCCCTTTCCCATCCTGATCACGACACCAGACACCTCGTAGGCCGCAAAGACACACAACTACTCGCCAGCGTTTTGGGGCAAACGCTTGCGACTTTATGCCAAAATGGATGCCTGGCTCTTCTTGTGACTGCCGCTTGATCTGACCTGACCTGACATGCGTCGCCTAACTGCCGCCTGCGCTGCACAACGCGAACGCGGCTCCTCCCGGCCAAACAGCGATCATTAAACGTCGACCGATCCCAGCTCGGGCCGCTTGACAACCGATCCCAGCCCGGGCCTCTTGACAATCGATCCCAGCTCGGGTCGCTTGACGACCGATCCCAGCTCGGGTCGCTTGACCGATCCCAGCTCGGGCCTCTTGACAACCGATCCCAGCTCGGGCCGCTTGACGACCGATCCCAGCTCGGGCCGCTTGACGACCGATCCCAGCTGGGGCCGCTTGACGTGTTCTAGATGGCCCGCTGCCACATGCTGTGATCTAACGCTGGGTGAAGTCCCACCGTAAAACCGACTGCACTGTTGAAGTTGAATTTATGGGTGGCAAAAATAATACTCCTCCACGCCCTCGAATCGCGGCTGTTCTAAGTGCGGGGGCCCATCGTCACCGAGCGATAGATAGTTTTACACCGGCCTTTCACGGCAACACACCTCGGCCATTGGTATCTCCCATGACAGTTGGTTATATCATCACCCGGTGAACCAATCTTGATGGACTTATCGGTGGATCAGCTGGCAATCATGTCAACTTCATCGCATCTCGTCACGCACGCAGTATTGCACGACAAGGTAAAGAAACACAGCTTACCAGTTCTATTATCGAAAGGTAGAAACGTCACAACGGCTCGTGAGGTATCGTTTTCACCGTTCAAACAATCAACATTACATCACATTTATGGCGAAACTTGCATCCGCTCCCGCCAACCTGCTGCGCAGCGACGAACCGCCCCCGCAGGAGCGCCCACGTCACAAAGGCACGCGTCACCGTTGCGAGCGGGCGCAGACGGTGTGGCAAAAATGCACTCAAGCCATTATGTTAACACACACCAATATAGCAGCGAGGGACGCATTGCACTGGGAATTGGGTCGGCATGCTAGGCATAAACGCGCCTGGAGCCACCCCCCCCCCCCCCACCCCCTGTTCCACCCGCGCCGTGTTCTGGCCGCACGCCCCCGTTCGAGGTCCACAGTCCACCTTCCTCCCGCCAAGCTGTTCAAGGTTCGCAAACGCGTTGTGCGAGCACCGCAGCGCTCGCGTCGTCGTTTGCTGACGTCATGGGTATTACCGGCGAGGTCATCGGGTCGCGGAGAGCGCCGAACTCTTCAGGGCTGCCAGACGGAGCACCTGCCGCCCGGAGGATTGGGTGGCAAACAAGTCACAAGTTTTGCGACCTCCGAGGCACGTTATCAGATAAATTCCGGGCCATTAGTCTGACAGCTGTCCCTTATCGAGACGAGATTGCCGTTGATGTGCACCGCCGAAGACGCCGACTCAGACGAGGTCAGGGAGTCTGTTGCACACACGGAGCCCATAGGTCAGCTCTGGTGAACACTTGGAGAGTTTTTACAAGCTGTTGCCTAGTCACTTCCCAATGCCATCTCGCCGGTCCTCTCCACGGAATCTGTAGCGATTCCACCACATCCACGGAATCTGAAGCGATTCCACCGTATCCACGGAATCTGTAGCGATTCCACCGCATCTTCTCACCAAATCTGCATCGCGCAGCGCAATGCTACCTTAGTGACAACGGCCACTACTTCTTGCTCGACCCCCACGATTTGAAGAACCGCTCCACACTATAACCTTTTCCGTCTGTTTTGCTCTTGTCCTTTGACACGGGTCGCGCGCCGATCTTGAAGTCGTACTTCGGCGTCGGCACCAAATGTTTATCACACTCCGGCGAGAACGGAGCGCCTTGCTTCCTGTGTGAGATCCCATCGGCCTTCGCCAGTGCCGGTGGCCAAGACTGCGCGCGGTCCATCGCAATGGCGGCGGCGAGAGACGACCAGCAACAAACCAACCGCTCCGGGGTCCGGCGTTGCTCCTCACCCCGTCAACCAACCAACCTTCAACCGCAGTCCCGCCCTGTCACTGCCGCTCGCTGCCCGCTGCCACAGCGCGGAGCCGCACGCGTGCAACGTCGCCTCGATGCACGCCGGGAGCCCCTTACCTCGCGCGGCGCCGGTGCCACACTGCGCGGCGCAGTTGGCGGGCGCGCCAGGACCCCTCCGACGGATGGGATCGGACGCGGGGGAGGGGCCGCCGGCCAGCGCAGGAATGTCCAGTTCAGAGATAACGCTCGGCGCGCGTGCGCGCGGGGTGGGGATCTCCCGCCGACCGCGTGGAAGGACTCGCCACCCCGGAACCAGTCTGTACGCCGCAACAGCGCTTCGCCGCCGCCGGCCGGACCGCAGCTGGCGGGCCACATGATCCCACACAGGTGCATCCCCGGGCGTTCTGAGTGAGGTCTCAGGCCTAAGCTCTGAGCGACAAACGCTTCTCGGACTCAAGGACGCCGCACTCGGCGCGAGAATGTGGTACGATAGCTGTGACGGCGGCGTCGCAGAATTCTGCCGACAAAAGTGAAACTGCAACAATTTTCGGGTTGATTGCCCTTGTTCTGGCCGTTTTGGCGCCACAGCTTCCTGCACGGCCGGTCCGGCCCAGAGAAGGTCCCAACACGGCCGACATAATCATAAG